CTGAGTCCCATAACGCAAGGCTGAAGGTATGAACAAACGTTTGTTTGATTGGCTCAACCGATTAGGGAAGCTACCACCAAGGGCGGTTCCTTCCATGCCTAGAATAAAAAACATTTTCGTGGTTGGTGAATCATTGTGAATTCATCATGACAGTTGGTTTCATGCTTCCCTCCAATCCAAGCTTGCTTGTTCTCAGCGTGACCCGCCCACCCCCATTGTGGTCGGCTTCAGGAATCCCAAGCGGTTCATTCCCCAAACCTGTTCCCTGAGAGCTGGCAAGATGCGGAGATGTCCCAAAACCTGGAAAGTGGTTCCAGCAAGATGTGGATATGGGGGCTTCTCAACTAGGCTGCGTCTTTTTTGCGGACCCGGACGCCCACCCCCCAAAAGCGACCCTCATATATTAAGCAACACCCATTAACGTCACAAGTGTCACGTCCTTGTTATGTTTTCTTGATCTTGCCAGTGGTTTGCACCGCAGGTCTATCGGTCTCAACCAGTTTATGCTTTTGGGGGGCTCGAAGGGCAGGATACTGGGGTAGACTTAGGATACATTTTGCATCTTACCAATAACCCAAAGTGAAGCAAACAAGACTGGGCCTAACTCCAATCATGGGTACGGGTTTGCGGTCAGGTGAAGCGAGACGAAGTCTATCAGAGCCTCTTCCGAGCGACGCCGCTTGTGGCCGCCCCGTGGTTTCGGGACGCCGGCGTGATGCACCTGCTGTGGCAAAAGCAGGCAGGGTATAAAGGGGGGGTCCTTATACCCTGTTGCCCAGTGTTTTTTTGTTGTTGGGGGGGACAGGTTTTTCTTTAATCAATCAACAAGGGATGCCCTGTTTGTCCCTTGGCCACTGGGCATCTGAATCTCACTCCCTGTGAGATCCTGGACTTTGATTTTTTGAGAAATCCATGTTAGCGGTATATAAACAGTTCATACTTTGTTTTAGGCCCATCCACTCAGGAGGTGAGTTTATATGGGCGGTCCCTATATTTCACTTTGTAGATGAATTTCCAGGTGGGGGGAAGTACCGGCAGCGTTATATGGGGGCTATTTAATCATACTTCCCCGCCTTGTAGGATACCCACGACTCCAAATGGTGACAAGCCCCCATATAAGGGGTGAAAGCATGACTAGCAAAAAGTAGTTTACTCCTTTAATCATGGCTAAGTTTGGTTTTGAAGTAACCCACAACTCCATTCTATTTCGTTTAGATAGACCTTTGTATTAAGCCAAGAACACGCATTTGAATATCTCACAATTTTATAAAGTGTACTGTTGGTTTAGGGGGCCACAGGGGGACAACCCAAGCTTGGACCGGGGCCAGCCCCAAAGGCTGTTGTCATGGGAAACAGATTCGATACAAGTGGCTCACTAAGTTGCCCAGAACGAAAGTCAGTTGGCAAAGCGCGTGAAGCCTGAAGAACATGGAGTTGGGATGACGGTTGACGTTTTATGGTGTTATTTGGCTTGCTGTCCTTTGTTCTAGAGTGATGCCCCATTTGTTGCAGGCAGGTTGGCACTTAAGTATTCTTCAATGGCACGCCAACTCCCTGTTGCAAGACTAGGGCAAATCCTCACAAGGTACAAAAAGGCTCACCCATCTAGGTCCTTCATTTGGGGGTTCCCATTATGCTGCTGGAACGGTAAAAAAATGCCCAGACGCATGGGTAATGGCACTTCACAAAGGGTCCCTCCAGGAGGAAACTGATCTTCCAGGTACCCTCCCACAGGTGCCATGTTAGTGGGAGGAATGGTAATTGTCTTTTGAGGGCAGGCCGTTGCTTTCCAGAGCTTCGACTTTTCCTTTTGGCTTCCCACAAATGCCCAAGGGTGCTGAAGCTAGGCAAACCCATGGAAGGTCTGTAAAGGCCAACCTGACACCGAAAAGGCCAACTTCCAAGGCCAGACCTAATGCCCAGCCTGCCGGACATGGCTTCCCTGATCCATCCATGGAACCAGAAACCGCGTATGTGTCAACATAGGCCCCAAGATGGTGGTGTTCTCTTGGTTTGCCTTAGACGTACCCGCAAAAGCCCCTCAGAAAGTCGCAAGCACATAAAGGGCACCCCAAGGACCCCTTAAGCAACTGGTCGGATATTGGTGTGTCTGTTTTAGGGGACCAACCGAAAATGTTGGTTTTCAGACCTAGATATCCCAAGCAAGCTCCATCGGGTACCCACGGGCCAGGTAATGGCTTGGTACCACGTGACCGGCGTACTCTCGTGCCTCATCTTTCGGCCCTGCCTGGCTCTTCCGCGGCTATGGGCGAAGGAAAGCACAGGCCGACGGCCTAAAGTTTTTGGAAGCAGATGCCAAGTCACCTTCCTGCGTTCCTGGACTGGAAGCTTTTTGGGTTTGGACCACTTGCTTAAGAACATGTGTGTTTATTTGCTTGCCCTGCTGGTTTTAAAGGGTGTTGTATGTTTCCCCTGTTGGTTTTAACGGGAATCTATCCTATCACTACTGGAAGTATTTTTGTCCAGGGACTCAAGCAAATGGAGGGTTTGGACAATTTTAGTGCTAAAAACAAGTTTGGACTTCTTGTGGCTCATCCACTCCGGAAGTGAGGCTAGGTCGCCTTCCTCCGAACGCATTTGTGGGAGGCTACCTGGAAGGTCGGTTTCCCCTTAAAGGCACACTCTGTTAGGTGTGCCATGGCAACATGGGAGGGAGGGTAGCCTATATTGATTATTCACATGGTTTATGACTTCAACTATCATTTAGATCAGCGTCGCCGCTGTCAGGGAATGCTGTTCTCATTTGGGCTGTCATTTGGCTTTCTGTGCTGTGCAACATGAGCAGCTCGAACTCCACGGTCAAAAGCAGAAAGCGCGTCGCGCATTAGCTCGGAAGCAGGGGTCAATAAACGATACTTTAAATCCTAAGATTTCCGAAGATGATATTCCATATGCTGAGAAACATGAATCCAAATCCATGCTTTTCTTTAAAGAGAACCGGAAAAAAACGTCAAGACATGATAAACCAATTCCTTAATATTAAACGTCAAAATCGACAATACAGAACAAACACACATGATATATTTAGCGTGTTTTAGACATTTTAGACTAAGATGTCGAACAGAAAGTCAAGTAGTAATGAATCAAAGCACGACAAGACATGATAAAATAATGATAATGATAATCCCAATGACAACCGCATTCACAATGAGAGCAAGTATGAATAGCTACATGGAAACCACATGTAGAACAGCATAGCATCATGACGCGGAGCACAAACAAACATACCCAACAAGCCTGCGTCACGAAACACGGAAGAGACTGAGTAAGGCATCTTCCCCTCTACTGCACCAGCCCTGTTTGACAATGATAGGCTACGTCCCGCGTCTATTCCAAATGATATGTTAAGCGGTAAACGAAGCCAACATACACATGCTAGAAACATATCTCTCTTACAAGGATAACTTTGGGTTTTCCTGACAAGGGGAACCAACGTTTGTTGGAGTTTTTTTGGATAAACGGGGGAAATGAAAGGGAAATCAACCGGAAACGAACTGGAAACCAAAATCAAGCCAAAAAGGGAAGCCAAGAGGAAACAGCAGTTGGTCAAACACCTTAACCATGCAGACAGACTGGTTTGAATCGCTCACCCCAGGCCTGCCGAGAACTCTGCGAGACCAGCTGGGGATCGAGGCAATGCTCCCGGGCGGCACTTGTTGTTTCGTAGCGGCGGACAGGGGGGTTTTCCCGGGCGGAAGGGCAGATTTTCAGGAAGGATTGTCTTGTCCCATTCTTCGGACCCTGTGTTTTGTGGCTCTGTTGTCACCTGTTGGGCCCGAGGTTCATAAGTTCCTTTGGAACGCGCGATGTTTTCAAGCGGTCAATTTGGGGAACCCTGGAGTTGTGTGTTTTGCGTATTTGTTTTGTCCAATGGAAGTAGACCAGACCTGTTAAGATGACTGTCAAACACCCTTCTGTCCACCATGATCGGGGGAAAGAGGGAAGAGTGTAATTATCGTCTCTTCTTTTCTGGATTTCCGTGGCTTCTTTGACGGTCGATCTGCAGTCGATTCCTGCACTTGTGAAAGAGTTTTTTGCTGTTCCGGGGGCCTTGCCTGACTTGTGGGCACTCTCACCTTCATAGCCTTTAAGCCTTGAGTAGCGCTCATAATGTTTCCGCTTTTGGCGCAAGCCTCACTTGACCCACAATCAAAACCCCTTGTAGATGAAGGACAAGGGATTGTCCCAGCAATTAAATAGGCGCGCACGCCCTTTACATTCTTTACAGTTTAGAGCACACCATTTTGACACCGATCGGTTTTGATATTGACTACTGTCAAGAACGTTTTCCTTTGGGGTGGTTGAAGAGGAAAAGGGACCCTGTCCATTTGTAATTTCAGCCAAGGTATGTGCTGGACGCACTGTCTTCGGTCCGCACCTTGAACATATTCTTCTTGAAGCTGGGCAAATGCCTGCTTTTGCGGATTCTCACTCGAGTTCCGTTTCGGACTTGAGTCACTTTTTGGGTTTGGACCATTTTGGTGGTAAGCATCAAACAACACCAGCTGTTTTTGGCTCGTCCACATCGGAAGTGAGGCTTTGGCTTGGCTTAGTTCGATCACTGTCGCCAAAGGCGGCGTCCCTTCCCGATTTTCAGCCTTGGCAGGGGCGCAGCGACACAAAGAGATGGCATGGGGGGCAGGTTGCCAGATGTTCACTCGATTGGCTGAGCTTATGAATTGCGCCCGGTGCACGTGTGGTATAACTAGTTTTTCCTCACAGCGACATTTTGGTTTGAAGTTAGATGACGCAACCAGTGTTCACACCATGTCCAATCTTGGTGGAAATGTGATGAAAGAGGTGGCAGTTTCCAAGACACAGGGTGATGCAGCGGCATCACCGGTTCGTAACATCTCTTCTTGTTGTTCTGCCTTGGCGGCAATTTGAGCTTGAAAGCAGTTGACTCGCCAGCAACCAAGAACCATACCAGTGACCACAGTTGACTCGCCAGCAACCAAGAACCATACGTGTGTGACCGTAGAATTGGCTCAATTGCAAAACCTGGCACCTGACCAGCATCGCAAAGAAAGCCGCGAAGCATTGATCAAAAGCCGTCGAAGTCCCTGAGGCGCGCCTGTCCATAATTTGCACCAGCTTAAGGAAGCCTTCCTTGGTGGTTCCCAGTTCCCATCCGGTTCAACTTTGGCTTTTGAGCTGTTTTTTAGTTAGTTTAGTGGTAGTTTCCATTTAACCCACTAGTGAGTCACTTTTAGCAGGGGATCTAGAAAAGCTGAAGGGCTAGATGTCGAATTTGAGGGTATGCCGGATACACATGTGAGATGTGATTATGGACTGCAGGGGGCCGTTTTGGCCCCTGCGCTGGGACATAGTGCCCTGGCCTGCGGCCTCATGTTGCTACGGTTGCTTCTCTAACTATGCAGATTCACCAAGCACGTCCAACCGCAAAATCCTGGCCAAAGATAGTTTGCGACACGAAAGTTTGCCATACGCAGAATGTCCCAACTGGTTTTAACTCTTTGCGATGTTACAAGTTCCCTCCGTGCCAGGTTAGCATCTGCAAAATCAATGGCCCGGGACCCGGAGAATTAGTCGGCAAGGAGTCTCAGAACTGCGGCGGCATTTTGTGTTCGGGCGAGGTTGAGACCACACGAACTCTGGTAGCTCCGTTGGTCCATTTCCCTGACGATTGAAACAGTACCTAAGGGCCGGCGAGGAAATTTCCTCGGCCAAATGAAACACTCTTTGGACAGGCAATTCTTTGACCAGCGGTCCAAATGTTTGGTTTCGATGGCACTCATTCTAAGGTTGCCTTGAAGAGAACCAAATGGAACACGGGCCCGCATTTCGTCTTCCAACTGTTGAGAGGCAAGCCCATTTCGTGGGCTGTTCAACGGCAATTCTTAATCCTTAGTCCCGTGCACTCAAACCATTTTGAACAGCATGGACCTAGGTCCATCCAGGCCCCATTTACTAAGCTAGCTTCTACTACCCCAAAAAACACCCAGAGAACATCGGATACATAGGTGTATAATTATGTGTATATATATATATATATGAATATATACATATATGTATAAGTGTGTGTGTATATGTATATGCATGTTCCTGTACGTATACATGTACATCATACATTATTCATATACATATACATATACATACACGTGCACATGCAGATGCACATACACATACATAGACATACACATACACATGCACATACACCAAAACATACAGAATACATGCATGCATGCACGCATGCATTCGTATAGTCTGTATGCATGCATACGTACGTACATACATGCATACGCACACGTACGTACAGACAGACATGTATATATATATATACACACTTGTATGCATGCAATACATACAGGCCAACATATATATATATATATGCACCTAGGTCTTCCATTTGGCAACTTTTCGGGCTTTGGGCATGTGTTTTGCTCGTTTCAGATTTTGAGCCGAACAACATGAAATGAGCGGAAGCCTTGATTTGGCAAGTTTTCTTCCGGAAAACGAGCGGACATCGGCGGGAAATGAGCAGACATGTGCGGACGCACAGCGGAGCAATTTTCGAATGGAGCGTGTTTTTTTTTGTTGTTGTTGTTTTGTAATTGAGCTTTTTTGGGCGCAATGAGTATGTTTGTTTGCTCGAAATTGCAAAATACAGAAAAAGTGCCAGGGAAGACCGAGGTGTGTATATATATATATATATATGTATGTATATATAAATGTGTATATATATATATATACACCTATACACATATACACATATATACATGCGTACGTACATGCATACATGCATGCATACATGCATACATGCATACGTGCATACCTGCATACCTGCATACCTGCATACATGCATACATGCATACATGCATACATGCATACATGCATACATAGATACATGCATGCATGCATGCAGCATGCATACATACATACACACATACATACATACATACATACATACATACATACATACATACATACATACATACATACATACATACATACATACATACATACATACATACATACATACATACATACATACATACATACATACATACATACATACATACATACATACATACATACATACATACATACATCATATGCACACACATACATATACATACATGTATAAATATGCATATTTAGCGCCTTTTTGTGGGGAGTTCCTCCCAGGCACCGGCTGACATCGTACCTATAGCCGAGGCGTCGGCCTTGGCGTTGTGCAAGTCGCAGCTCGCCTCGCAGCAGAAGGACTCGCTGCAGGCGGGGCGCTGGGCGCAGGCGGTGAGTTGGTATTGGGCTCAACTGGGTGTTGTTCGATATTACGTTCCCAAACGACCGTGGGCAACTTTTCCCATTTTTGTTGGGGATTAATTATCATTGTTTTTGTGGCTTTCCCCCAATGATCATTTGATCAACCGCCATATCTCATTTGAATTTGTTTCTTTTGGGTGCCCCAAAAATGGCGCAGCGGTTTTGCTTTTGATTTCGGAGGGGTTGTCAAAAGCGCTTGGTTCCTTTTGCAACTCGATATGCCGCCAAGGGTGGGTATCGTTTTGATTTGGGTGTGTTGTTTTTTTGAGGATACCACCTTGCTTGATGTTTGTTGTTTTTTTAAGGGAAGCCAACAGGGAAACCAACCATTTTGGTGGAGCCCTTAAAAGGACACACCCAAATGGTTGGCGGAAAATATGATCCCCAGCGAATTGTGGAGGTTCCTCAATCTTGAGATGAACCCATGTGGCTAGTTATGTGTCCATGAGGAAGGAGTACTTCCAAAACCCTTCCGTTAGCTTGCATGATTGTTGGATGGAGACTTTCTGGTGGAAAGCCAACTGCTAGTCGGTTGGTTGTCGTGGAGTCTGGTAAATCCAGCCTCTTCTGACCGTTTGTTTTTAACTATCCCGATCAAACTTATTCAGGAATTCTGAATCTTGACCTGGTGCAAACCACCCGGCCATCCATTCAGACACTCACCGCCCTCTCAGGCTCCGACGATTCGGAGTGTGGTTTTTACAATACCCTTTTGGTGGTTGCTTTAAAGGGAACTAAAAGGAAGCCCACCATTCTCGGGGGGGCACATCCCCAAATCACCCAGTTAACAGCAAATCAAATGCGCTGGAGAGAGGTCATTGTCAACAAGCACGTCCAAGACCCTGTGGGGACCTCGGGTCAGATGGAATCCGAAAGCCTCGAGAGTGGTCATGTCGGAAAGGCCCCGAAAAGTGCACCTCTTGGCGGGGGCTCCTTTATCGCGCAAAGAAAACGCTTTCGTAGGCAAAAGATTGAAAGATTCCTTAGCAGGCGCTTCCCCGGGCTATGACTCGCGCCAACGAGCCAACGAATTGCGAGTCTTTGGTTTCGACCTTTGCGTGTGCATGCTGAGATGAGCGCAGTGCTTTGGGCCCCAAGCGACCTGGGAAGGCGGGCCTTTGTGATGTGTATAGCTTGTGGAAGGCTTGCCATAAACCATGAGCCAGTAGAAATGGAATTCGGCTAGGGCATGCCTGGATTTTCATTTGGCCGTGTCTTTTTTGTACCATATTCAGGGGACCCCCAAACTGGTGGGTTGCCTTGGGTTTCCCTGTAGAACCACCCAAAAAAGGGGTACCAACTCCAAACGGCGAGCCCATGCATTGTCTTCTTGAACCCAAAGCAACCCGATCCCCTCGAGGAAAGACGAGCCACCCACTGGATCCATCTGCATAATTTATGGCGAGCTCACCTGGTAAAACCAGCTCACCATGGTACAGGTCCTTCACGCAGGGATCCCTTAATTCAGCTTTTGGAATTTCATTTGTAAAAAATACAAAAAAGAAGTCGCACTTGGCATGGGATCCCATGTCGGATCTTATCGTTGCTGATCCCATCGTGGCTAATGGATCCATGTCGCATTCGGGCGTGGATCAGCATGCGCTGAGGCTCTGCGGGAGCTCAGCTCCAGTCAGACTTCCACGGAGAGAGGTCTTCAGCGCTGGGAACAGGCGTCCCTTGGGGGCCATTTCGCCATTTTCGGAGCAACGGCTCACTTCCCGAATTTCGTTTCGGACTTTTTTTCAATTTGATTTGGGGTTGGACCATGCATGTTAGTGGGCAATAAACAGCTTGGTTACTTCTTTTGGCCCATCCGCTAAGAGGGGGGTGACATGGTTCGCACTCACTAATTACATGACTTGGAAATGGTGACTCACCAAAATCCAAGGTCACTGGGGGGGAAGAGCTTGCATATGTTTTGAGTTGGTGGTTTCTGCATGGTTTGGATTAGTGGTTACACAATCCAAAGACAACCAACTATTTCCTAGGGCTCACAGTCGCCAAGTGTGTGGTCAAGCAATGCCCATGCCGCATTTCGCGATGTCCTTTTGTTGCGCTACATTTTTGCGGGTGCGTTGAAACGGGAAACGAAATGACCTCTTTCCCGGCCCCCGCGGGCCCAATTTTTTGGGGTTCCCCCATTTACTGACAGCGACTTGGGTCGTCCGACGTGAAAACCAGTCACCCATTTTACCTGGTCGACACTCCCATCATGTGCCTTCCGGCATGGATTCCACGGGTCTTAGTTGGGCTCGCTCAGTCACAAGTGGAATCCGGCTATTCTCCCAAAAGGACACCTCCCCTGAAAATCAACATGGAAGCCAAAGGGGAGTCTCAAAGGAGATTCCGACCCTAGAAGACGACGCTTTGTTTGGTTGCATGTTAGTCGGCAAGGGAGTATGTGAGGTTTGGTCACACTGTCAAGTTCCCGACAGATCCCCAGCTCGCCTGTTTTTTGGGGCGGGGGGGGAGGAGTTTCTTTTGAACTCAACCAACCAAAACAGCATGCCTTCTTTTTCCCATGGCCACTGAGCATCTAAGTACAGCTCATTTGTGAGGAACTACTTAATGTCCCACAAACACGGGGGATGAGCCCCGATTTGTCCATGTCCTCTTGGAGAAACCTGTGCCAGAATCAAAACCCGGGCAAGTGAAGGTTGGTATGCCACAGTCCCAGCCAGAATTAGGTGCGGCCGTTTGTGTATTTTGTTACCTTGAAATTGGTTTGGGTAGGCCATTTCAATACCGATCGGTTTTGACGATGGCTCACAATACTGTAACCCTGGGCGTGCTGCGTTGGCTCCTAAGCAACAGGCGCACTTGGTCTCCGCGCTGGATGTCATCAACGAGTACCAGCGCTCCCGGCGAGCGCGTGTCTTCAAATCCCTTGCCCGCGCCCCGAGGGTGTGTGCGGTCCGTTTTTTGTTTGTTTGTTTTTTTGTTTTTTTGCGTGTTTGTCCTTTTCTTCTTTGTTTTTTTGCGGGGGCGGATGGGCTTATCATGTCCATGTATGTTTGTATGTGTGGGGACAACCATTTTTTGGGAACACACTTATTCAGGTTACCCGCCTATTGGTGGTTTGCATTGGTGGTTTGGGGATCTGACCCCTGGTTCTTGTCACGAAAGCTAGCTTTAGCTAGCTGAAGTTTCTCCTTGCGTAAGCAAGGTAAGGGGCTCAAATGCCGAAAGATTGATTTTTTCAATTATTTGAGCCGAAAAGATTGAAAAATATCAATTATTTAGACCCCCCCCCCCCCCTCAGGCTCATTCCTCCCTGGTCCATCCCCCTTTCCCCGGGCAGTGGCTCAGTGTTCAGCAGTCTCGGTTTGCCCGTTTTGGACTTGGTGCTACGAACTTTTACATGTTCCACCGATTCAGCTTGTTCACTTGAGACCTCAGTCTTCTCGGTAAACCACCTCGCAAGAATCTTTGCACACGCTGCATGCAGAACGCAGAGGTGCTTTAAGACAGCTTCTGACGCCTCTCGTTGTTTTCATTTTTCAAGGTTTGCCACGCCACCATGTGCGTTTGCGTGTCGCATCCTACGAATCTTGCCGGGCCTCTCGTTGTACACAAGCTACCTATGAATCCACTCTGTCACCGACCCATCTCATGCAACAACTGCTAGCTTTCGTTCACCCGCTCCTCAAGTAGAGGGTAAATGAGAAACCACCCCGAACCGCCAAACCCGGAATCTGGGTAAACATGTGAGCTGTGAGCTGGGGCGCCAACAGTTTGAGCCCAGGTGGTATCCCCAACAGCCCCGCGAAAGCTGCCCCAGAGCAGAGACCCCGGAATTAAGTGTGGGAAACCAGTAATCAAAGGTTTCCAGGGGCAACACATAACCAATATTGGGCCATGGCAACTGACAACAACACTGGTAGTCTGTGGTGAGTGTTTCTTTCTCCCCAGCACCCGAAATGTAAAAGCGGCAGGGTGGACGCTCAAATTCAGCTGCGCCGTGTGTCTTCGAGCTCGAAGAGCGAGGGCATTCCTATTCGTAGGGTATACCGCTGACGTGCTTTGCTGCACCCCAAGCGAGCTCCTCCTCAGCATCCCCTGCATCACCTGCACGCCCTAAACATTGGACCGCCAAACATCCCTGGCATCCCTGGCCTTGCGACTGGCTCCTGATGCCACGTTCCCTAACCTTCAAAAAACACTGCAGATACCGTGCAAATTGCCCCCGAACCCCCAGCATTCCTGCATCGCCAGCATCTGGGCTTTCCAGCATCCCTTGCATCCCCTGCATCGCTCAAACCCTCATTTTTTTTTGTGTGAGTAGGTTTTGCTCCGGTGTTGATCCATACCCCCCGATCCATACCCCCCGATCCACACCCCTCAACAAACCCGATCCATACCCCTCAAAATCCGATCCAGACCTCTCAACATCCCGCGACCCAGCTTGCGAAACGTACCCCTTTGCAGAGATCGTGCGTGTCGAAGCGCTGGGCGAGTGTTGAGGGGGAGGCTTTGGAGCAACCCCAGTAGCCAACCAGCGGATAATTTTCCCAGCCGCCGAAACAAATTGCAAATGCTTCGCGTTGCCCGCCTCGGCCTGTCCGCTTTTGGCTGGCTTTGAAGTATACACCGTGCTTTAGTTTGCCTTGAAGTCTTGTGTTTGCGTGAGCTGGCTTTCAAGGTAGAGGGCGGGCATGTCTGCGTGGCTTCAAGTGCAGAACGAGAGCTGCAGAGAGGTACAGAATGGCAGTGAGCTTGGGCCAAGCGAAGGTGAACTTGACTGGCTTGTGGGTGGGAATTTTGGCCGGTTTCTGGAAGGATTTGGCCGGAGTTGTTGGACTTGTTGTAGAAGGGGTCTGCGGGAAGCGGCCCTGGGGTCCGAGGCGAATTATTTCTTTGCCTACCTAGCACCTCCGATGATTTTCTTGACCGTGGGTAGGAGAGTGTTTTACATCAAGTCCTCCAGTAAAGCTACCGCAAACGGTCACTACGTCCTTGGCCGGTTTTATGGAAATTAACATGAACACTGAAATAAAGTTTCTGAATCCATTTCCAAAAGAAGATGAGCCGCCCATGTGCCGCAAAGGCGGGGGGGGGGGGTGGTCTTTGCAGGGAGCCCCTGGTCCCTGAAACACCTGCCCAAAACGAGAGACATCACCAAGCCAAGCCAAATTGACATCTTATCCTTGTTCGTTTTGTTTTGTTTTGGTAGGTGGGGGGTAGGAGGGATGGGTCAACTCCTATCCATTTGTTTGTTTGTGGTTGGGGGGGCATGGGCCATCCCAAAAAGATCGGCATTGAGCCAATCTGGGCGCTGAGGGCGACCTCGGGCCCAGCTGGCGGCGGTCCTACAAGAACGACCCCAGGCATCGAGCGAGCGAACTGGGCGCATTGGGCGTGTCTTCTGTGTTTTCCCCCACGACAGGGTTGAGGGTTGAGGTTTGGCTTTGATTGATTGATTGATTGATTGATTGATTGATTGATTGATTGATTGATTGATTGATTTATTGATTTATTGACTGATTGGTTCATTGATTGACTAATTGGTTGGTTGATTGATTGACAGACTGATTGATTGATTGATTGATTGATTGATTGATTGATTGATTGATTGTTTGATTGACTGACTGACTGACTGACTGATTGATTGCTTGGCTGGTTGATTGACTGACTGACTGATGGAATTGATTGACTGATTGATTCATTGATTGACTATTGATTGATTTGATTTAATTTGATTTGATTTGATTTGATTGATTGATGGATTGATGGATTGATTGATTGATTGATTGATTTGATTGATTGAATGATTGATTGGTTGATTGATGGATTGGATTGGATTGGATTGGATTGGATTGGATTGGATTGGATTGGATTGGATTGGATTGGATTGGATTGGATTGGTTGATTGATTGATTGATTGATTGATTGATTGCTTGATTGCTTGATTGATTGCTTGATTGATTGATTGATTGATTGATTGATTGATTGATTGATTGATTGATTGTCTTTGTTTGAATGATTGCTGAAGTTTTAATTTGTTAGTTGTATGGTGGATGGATGGATGTATGGATGCATGGATGGATGCATGGATGGATGGATGGATGGATGGATGGATAGGTTGATTGGCTGGTTGGTTGGGCAAAAATGGAAAGGGCACGTGCCTTTCTTTGGATGGCATGTTTCACTTTATGGGAACTGGGCTTGATAGTTTCGACTGTGGCTCAAATGGTTTTGTTTCCGAGGGAAACCCCACCCTTTCTGACGGTGTCCCTTTCAACTTCTTCAGAAAAGCACCGCGGAAACAATAGTACCATCCAGAAACACACCCAAATGAAATTGGGGTTGGATGGAACATGAGCGCCAAATATGTAAAAATAAAGGGCACCCTTCTTAAGAGCATGTTGCATGTTTGGCTCTGGTTTCGGCATAGTTCTCAGGCAAATAATGGGGCCAGAAAAACCCGCCAAACAAAAGGACACCTGCAAATAGACAAACCCAAATATGGCCATGGCAATTTATCCTTGCAGGACCCGAATGTGCGAGCTGCTGAAGAGTTGGTTGCGAGCCAATGCGGGCTGCAGCGCTTTGGCGGAAGAGGAGGCAGGGTAAAAAAAGACGTCCGCTGGCGCCAAGGCTGGATGGTTCAGGATTGATCCAACTCCTGCTTATGTGTTAAAATAGGAGAGCCCCCGCCCATAATGGTAGTTTTCCTTAAGTTGACCTTTTGGTTCCCTCTAGCACCACCCCTATGCCAGATGGTAGTGGTTCCCGCTGTAGTTGTGGCCCTCGGATTGCTGGTGAGATACGTTTCGAGGCCAATTTCTTGGTTCCCAGAAAACGGAAGCAAGCAACCCGGTTGGTTCTTTGCCAGATTCCTAAAAAGCAACCTGGTGTGTGTGTGTGTGTGCGTGTGTCTGGTGAACTTCTCCTGACAGCGACCCCTGAATGAATGTCATCAAACATGTTGTTTTTAATGCATCGTTGCTGCGTTACTGTGTGAGAGCAAATTTGGAACGGCAAAATACTGAAAACCGAAATCTTAGGGATGCACTTTGCTTTTGCGTTGTTCCTTCCCTAGGAAAGGCCACTCGAAACTGTCAAGGTTTGAAGTGAAAGAACTGTTCCATATTCCCTCAGTGAGAAGCATGCAAGATACAAAGCAATACCGGGAAGCATGCCGAGGTTACAGAAGTCAGAAGCAAGTGTCTTTGGACTCTTGACACCAACTCCTTGCCATTTGGGTGTGGCTTCAAATTAAACAGCTGAGGTTAATTACGCAGGTGTTGGTCAGTGTTTCCAAAACCAAAATGACATGTTGGGTACCATTTTTTGAGCCACCCCGATTTGCTGAGATTGTGTCTTTGGCTCTTAAAGGAGTGGCATGCTGTCGCCGAGGTTCGCAATATGTGCGGCCTTTGCCGGGACATCCTGAGCCATCCGCAACTCTTTCCTGCCTGGCACTTGTGACACCTTGGATGGGCGAAGCCCCATTTTGAGCGAGCTTCCTTTTGGTCAGTACTGTGGAAAGGGGAGATAATGCTTGACCTTGCCCCCTAAAAAAAGGGATGCGTGAGGGTCCCGGATGGGGAATGAGGCGCGAAATCCTCAAAGCTTCATGAAGAGCATGGCTGATGCATCTTGGCCGAAGCTGAGTGTGAGAGGCTTCCGAGACATGGCGCAACGCAACTCACTTTAAGTTGGCCAAGTGGATGTTTAAAGTAGCGGAAATGTCGAGAGCCTGGGTACAGGTTGCATCCCAGACACTCACCAGTGCGAAAGTCGCGACAGGTGTACGATCACTTGCAGTGGCAACTGCAGGAGGCAGGAATCGATGCTCTCAGTTGATTTCGCTGGGTCCCTGAGAGCGATCAATTTGAGAGTTTCTCAAAAACAATTGCGTGTTTTTGTTTGGGGGGGGGTCCTTTTGGCCACCAGGAGGACAACTTCGAAGATGTCACTTTAATGGACTCAGTGTTAAGCTTATCATGGAAGCCATGGGATGAGTAAAGAAGAAGCCGTGCAGCCTAATTGGTTGAGTCCACAGTAACATCCGCAAAATGAGTATCAGAATGTTTCAGAGTTCAAGCCACCGACCCAAGAGTGACCCAGTCTGCTGCAGAGGTGCTGGAAAAAGACAGGAGTTGTGCTGACCTTGTCAGGAGCTGAGAGTGCGATGGTGAGAGCCAACGATAGTACCGGCCAGCTTCTTCCAAATACACCAGGTACAAGGATGTTGCTCAATATAGGGATCCCTTAAGATCGTTGGCAGCTGACAATTCTTAAGCCCATATGAATGATTTGCTGTATGATCATGAGGGCCCTGTGATTCTTGTTGGCTTTCTTTGGGTTTCCCTTTGAATACCGAGCCAAAAAAAGGTCGTCCATTTGGAGAAACTCTTTCAATGGGATGCTTGGAGGTCCTAGCAAGAGTTGTGTGATTGCTTCACAGCGCTTGACAAAGGCCAACACAGCATGGGTGCTGATAGACTTTGCTTTGCGGGTAGGGCAATGGTAAACCAACTTTCCCTCTGCCGTGTGCAAAATGTGTGCAATCTCCTCTTGAGGCATGCAGTGATTAGGATGGTCCGGTAGAATTTTAGATTACCTGGGTGGCAATATGTGAGTGTGAAGCTTAATAAGAACCCCTTAATGGCCATCATTTTGGAGGGAATCATGCCACTAACCTCTTTTGAGGTAAATGTTGTAGCCCTGTATGGCCTGCCTAGACGAGTTTTCGGTATCCTCTTGGAGGTATCAACCGGTCAACCAAAAAGGGGCAAACGGACCCCTTCTCAGTGTCTTAGCGCAGCTACCCCAACCTGTTCTGTGGCTTGGTCCAGAAGCCACGAGGGAAGATGGAGTTGACCAAGGTTTTGAATTATAAAAAGCACAGGGTTTCTTAAAAGCCCCCCTCAAACCACACCACAAGGAGTTTTTAAACATGGCCCAAGAGACGTGTCAATCACCAGGAAATGTATCTTCCCTCTCAGCCGTTTTCATTTGTCAAGGCTCAGCGCCTCCTTTCCATCAGCCGCAACTTGGTGACGGACACCATCGCCTACCTGCTGCCTTCAGCTGAGAATCCGGATGCAGTTGAATCGCGCGAATGACACGAACACGCACACACACACACATATACAAACCGACTCGCTTGCGCAAAGCCGACCTTTTGACCTTTGCTTTCCCTTTGTTGGTCCGTTTTTGGGTCATGGTTCCAACAGGTTAGTTAACCTTTTGTTTCTGGGTCCCTTTGGGCATTTGAGTTTGACAAACACGGCCACAATCACAAACAACACACACAGGCACAGAAACACAGCTTGACAAACAGACAGGTACAAAGTGAGAAGCGCACAAGCAGACTCACCTCAGTCGCCCTTTGGGTCGACCATTTGGCATTTGTTTTTCAGTGTCGATGTTTAGTCTTTTGGTTCCGAAAGGTCACGAGTTTAATTCCAGGTGGCAGATTCAAACACCGATACATTTTTACAAAGGGCCAGAAAAGGTAGGTTCGGGTCCTCCCGGGCGTTATGGTAGCTATCTTCCATTTGCTGAAATGAATACATCATTGTTGATGTTTTTGTTTTTCCCGGGGGCTTACGAAAATGGAGATCACAAGGCAGCTGGTACAAACCTTTCTATCCAACTTGGAAGAATAAAAGCATATAAAAGCAGCAATATTCGGGTAACCCTTGGCGGTTTAGCTTGGGGGTTTGGGATTTGAAGCAGCCCTGGTTCTTGTAGGTCGTAAATGGGAACTACCCCGTTGGAGGGAAGCTGAAATATGGACGCTTCCCAGAATTTACATTTGCCTAGAATGGTTGTTTTCCTGTTGGTTCCCTTTAAACTCCAACCAACAGGGAGAGTCCACCATTTTGAGAAACTCCCCCATGGTGTGCCTTTTTTTTTGGCGGGGGGCGTGCTGTTGCGTTCCTTTAAAACCACAAACCATGGGAGCCGCGAAGACACGAACAACCGATATGACCAAAAAAGGGTTGCGCTTCGCGAGATTCGCAAATCTCAGGTTGGCCCCCACGGACCTCAAGGAAACAGATGCCGGGGGCCGAGCGAGACGAGAACCAGTTGAGCCCGGGTAGATGAAGGTTAGTTAGTAAGGGAGTTGGTCCCAACCATGGGCGTGCAGCCGCTTTTTGCTTCTTTGCGTGGTTCTGGGTAGACCACCTTGTAAACCAGGTGTTAATTCTCAGTTCTTCTTGGTTCCAAGAGGGAACCGATTGTTGGTTTCCTTTCAGCTTCTTTTGAAAGGCAGCCAAAAGGATGGCGGGTTCCTACTTTTGAGAAACACCCATTTGTGCGACGGCCCGTTCGGATCAATCCTCAACATCCTCATGGCAGTTGGTGGTTTCCCCTGTAAGGGGCCCAACGGTCGCGTACGGATTCGCGTTGGGGTCCCTGCATTTTGAACTAGGGAACGTAAACGCACTTGAATATCGATTGAGAAACCATGACCACGTCCTACAAGGGGACCCACTCATTTTTTCACTTCCTGAGTCAGATGTCCACAGTTTCGGCAAGAGATTGAATCTGTCTGAGGACAGGTGCACTTTGCAGCCAGAACTGTAGGGGCTCAGATCAATTGGTCACCAAGTCCCCGGCTGGGTGCTTCCACTTATGAGCTTTCATTGGGAGCCATTTCAAAAGTAGTTGGTGGACAGGAATCCCCACCGAATTCTGATGTCCACCAAAGGGTCCCTATTAAAGCTCATACCCATGGACGAATAACCCTGCCTCGGTGGATTGTGCGGGCAATTCAGGAGGTGGTTCTACCTGGTTTAACAGGGATTCTAGCAGGTTCTACAATTGGTAGTGACACTATGTGTCCTATTACAGTAGGCTTCACTACCATCTCTTCTACTGACTGGTTTCACGATCCTGGTTCAACTACCTAGTTTCACCAACCTTTGTAAGCCATTGTCACCATCTTAGTTAGTTTGGGAGGCCGAAGTTTTTTTTCTTCTTTTTTTTCCGGATCCGCGGGGAAGTTTGTTTCGAGCCTTCAGGGCCTTCCGTCTCTGGAGATCGTGAAGTTGTGGCAATCCTTGCCCAACGAAGGGCATCCGATGCCGCGGCCCTAGTGCTCCAGTTTTGGTACAGACTCACAGGGGGGTTACAGCCTGAAAGGACGTATGACCACAGCTGAGTTTGACCAGCATGAGTACCATGTCCTTGCGGTGCTGTTTTATGGTGCTGTTTCAAATACCTGGACCTTCCTGCATGCTCAAAATTTCTGCCTTTTCGCTACGAATTGCTTTTTGGGGCAATTGCGCGTGTTTTTTGCCTACGGCCTTTTTTTGCTCAATTTGGGTGTTACCCTCAATCTCCCCGAATCTACAGGCGAAAATTCCCGACCAACAGGCGACAATTCCCGACCAACAGGCGAACATTCCCTACCGCGGCGCAAACAAATATGACCGCCGGCGTTTTTTCGCCCTAAACGCATTTTTCCACACCAAAGGCAAAAGACACGTGTTTTTTGGCCAACGCCTAAAAATTTTGGACCTCCAGAAGGTCCAGGTATGCAGCATGGGCATCCGAGAAGAGCAACACAGAGGGTGCCAACTGCTTAGCCATCATGTTTCGGACGCCATGTCGAGCCTGTTCATGCACAAGACTGGTACAAATTGAGATACCTGGAGATTCCAACCTCAACGAAGTCCTAGTAATTCTCGGCATGGACCCTGTTTTGGACGCAAACGCCCGTAAACTACCGCAGACGCCTTGAAAAGGTGCCGCAACATGCCCGCAAAAAACGGGGCAACCGCCCGCAAAAATATCGCACACAAATTACCAAACACGCCCAAAACGGCTAAAGTGCCTTGACAGCCAGAACGCGTAGGAATTCCTCGGCAGATTTCCGGGCAGAAGTTGTTGCTGTCGCCAAGGATCAGCTCGCAAATTCCAGAATCGGGCTCGCTCTCTTCCCAGTTGCATGTTCAGAATCGGACCCGTTCTCCTACCTTTTTTGTTGGGGGGGGTTTCCAGGTTTAACCCCTTCGCCTTCGAACCATGCGGTTCGGTTCTTGTCCATTGGACATGGGTCTAGATTTCCAGCGGGCAAGCCCTCATTCTCCCAATGGAGAAGCAGCTAAACAATCGATTGGACTGTTAGGGCAGTTCTTGGTTGCAGGGAACCTGAAAGCCAGCCAAATCCGATGTTTGAGAAACTGTGCCACGGCCAACCACTCCCTTTGTTTTGGATTGCTAATCTTTGGTTTGCTCCAATCAGTCAAGATATATAGATGGTACGAAATGAGCGATGTGTGCGACTGAGGCCACACCGCAAGGATCCCGCACTGCAGAAGCTCATGCAGGAGGCTCTCTCTCGGACCTCCAAAGCCATCGATCATTTGTGTGGGGTCGGGGGTGGGGGGGGGGGGTGGGGGCGGGGTTTCCGAAAATGGCTGTGTGTGTGTAAATGTATATATATATATATAGAAATATTATATATATATATATACACATAGTGATTGATTGATTCTGTTCTCATATATACATATTATACATATATATATATATACACACATGCACGTGTATGTAATGTTAGCGTTCTCATGGACCTGGACCTCTTCAAACAAATTCCGTGAATACACTTCGGGTGTTTCCCCTTAGAACAGGCTCGAATGAGCATTTAAAGTTGTTCGTTGATAGTTCCCCGCTGGATCGAAGATTGAAGATTCCCCATATCTTTTTGACAAAGTAATATTTGATCCTTACCACCTGCACACACTTTGTTTTTGTTTCTAAGAACTTTAATGCCGTGTTTCCATGATCGAAGATTGAAGACTCCCGGAAATCTTGGATCTTCAATTTTCAAAAAGTGTCATGTGGAATCTTGAACCTTCAGTCCAGTAAAACGGTATTTGAGCAAATGCTGCCAACAGGTGCTATTGAGAATGATAAAAACGATTTGGTCAGCAACTCTTAGCTTAGATAGGAGTTGCTGTTCAAGATTGATTTAACTACTATGATATACAATGCAGTGGAATTATGCAAATGAATTGAATTGGAATGTAAACGCAACTGCACAAGGACATGAGGTTCTTGATATGTTTGATTTGCAAATGGCAAGTTAGATGGGAATGAGTTGTTTTCCCCCAAGTTGACAATTGGTGTGTCATTTCCGTGCGGAACGAGCATAATGATGTTAAATGGATAAGTAAATACATAGGCGAGTAAAATAAAGCTTGGAGAGGCACGATGATCTGGACAACCCAGAACGAGATCGGGGGTAAAGCGCGCTGACTTCCTCATGTCCAGCAATTGATCATGTCCAACTTCATGGCCAAGACTACAGCCTCTGTTTGAAGGGAAACCAAAGGGAAACCACCCATTTACCCATTTGGAGCCGTAAGGAGACAGGAGGGCCTCGTTTGGCAAACCAGAAAAAGCCAAACGAGGCTTCCCTTGGGTTTCGCGGGCGCTTCTTCATTTGGAAACCGACTTTTAAACGATTCTGGTTAACGAAAATACCCCAAAAGAAAAGGGTCGGAGTCCACCGTTTTGAGAACCCCACATGCGTTTACTCTGCAAAGTAACCTAAGGAACCCACAAAGATGCACGTGGATGTGTAGAGGAAGCCCTTGTTCAGGGACCGCCTTTATGTTAATTCTCACTTGCCCCAAGCGAATCGACCTGCCATGACCATTGGCTTTCCAAGTTTGGTCAACATTTTTCAGTGGCCCCAAAAGGTCGACCTTTGATTTCCAGGCCTTTTTCCCGCTATTTGGTTTCAAGCAAACAGATTGGACCCGCTTTCTATAGTTTCCCCATATTGTTGTACCAGTTGTTCCTCTTTTGATATTATTTTAGTACTCTTTGATATCTTACAGGGGTGGATCCACAAAGACCGCATCCAAACCGTTACTTAGATGGTTGGATCATTGGTTTTTGTATTCTTTGGTTGAAACAGTACGGATTTCCACAGAAAGTGCAACACTTTTTGCAGAGGGGTCGTTACAGTAACCAAGAATAAGTTGGATTGGTGATTTTAGGGGTAGTTTCCCATTTGCAAGAACCAGAGGTTCACCTCCAAATCCAACCCAATCCAAACCACCAACAAAGGCTTGACCTTTTCTTTCCAGGTCCCGAAGGGCAACTGTCTGAGCGTTTTTGTATTACAGCCCTTG